TGACTAACAAGGTGTCTGTCTCATATGATATAGTGCTTTTGAGAAGAGACTTTTCCTCAAGGTATGCCGGAAGTCGTTTTTTTACGATAACGCATGTCGTCTAACGGAACACATATACCACGGTAACGGCGAAACAACCCGATTCCAAGGAACCGTCATACCAGTCGACCCGTTCCACCACCGCTCCCATGCCGAGAGTGACAAGTTTTGTAAACGGTTTACTGATCCAAAGCTTTTCCCCGATATACAGGAAGACGGGAAGTGGGTGTTCAATGCGTCTGCTGCAGAGCTCACAAATATATGGTATGGTGGGTTTGCCTCAATGTGTTGTAGCATGCACTCCCTTCGGTACAATTTTTTTTTGGAACAGATGGTGCATTTGAGGAACGTTTGGCTGTCCAAGAAATTGAGCAAACGGAAGGGGATGGAATTCATGGGCAATGGTTTTGTTTAACACATCATTTTGAAAGAAAGAAATTGTTATGCTGAAAGTCCAAATTGTTATTCTGAAAGTCCTGTTTGTTTGCTTTTGTTTTGTTTGCTTTTGTCATTTACAATTATTATCAAAAAGCAAGGTTTCAAGGTGTTTTTGACTTTAACTTTCCGATCTAATAATAAATAATTTGAAACGTTATACGTTTGTAAACTACTATTTAACCCTGAACCAACCTCTTGCTCTCTCGCTCGAATCATGAAATAACAAAGCGTTGTATTTGTTATCAAAATGAGCATGAACATGAATGGATTCTCAATCATTCCAAAAGCGATGGCGCGACATGATGACACGCGCACAAGTACAACTGGTTACTTTTAACAAAAGTAAGTTCAACAACCATCCATCATGCATGTTACTGAGTGCGGTCAAGTCACCACTACAAGACCATGGCTAAGAACCTGGGCATAATTGAAAACAGGTAAAGTAAGAAATAACCCTTGAGAGACCCAAGCTGCAAAACAACACACTTGAACAACTAGTTGTTTAGATTCGTGGTCTAAGGAGACGACAAGGCCCTCGAAAGTCATCAACGTGTTCACTTCGATGTTCTCCATCTCAGATAACTCGGGAGAAAAATGGCCGAATCGATAAGTAATCACGAAGCGTAAAGCCGCTCTCTCCTAAAGAAGTAAGTGTGTGTGTGAATCAGTAGGAGGAAATACAGTAGGTAAACAAGTCAAGACTTACTTCGGGGTCAAAGATCTCATGTTCTGCTTGAACAGTCAGGTGCCATTCACCATCTTCAACATTCTCAAAGGCAACCCGGAGAACTTTCCCAGTTGAACATATCCAAGCTTTCCCAGCTAAGTCGGCATGTTGAGGTGGTACGGTTGCCACCAAACTTTGGGTCATAGAGCTGTGCTTGATGAACGCGCCATCAACTGGGTCCACGCCAAGGGGGCCATGTATATGGTAAGTGTGATCCCGTTTGAGTACGTCATCGGCCATGAGCAAGCCATACGCTTTCAGAGGAAACACTTGGGGCTGGCCATTGGGATCTTTCAATATCAACTCTGTTTTGGTCTTGTGCCAAGCTGATCCGCCATCGGGTAAACGCAGGCGCAAGAGCATGGCCTGAGAAAGAAGTAAACGAGTTAGACTTTATATAAATGTAGATATCAAAAATCTAGTTACCTCGCTCGTTGCAGTAACGATTGCTGAGATTTTGGCTGTTAGTGGAGGCATATGTTAGGTCAATTTCATGAACAAAAACGGTCTTGAAGGGGTTCTGTACTTAGTCGAGTTGATAGCGGAGAGCATTTATTTACATCCGTATTTAAAGAGAAGGCGCGCTGATTTCTAGCCAGTCACAAGGTAGTCATGAGAAGCGAGTGAGTGTGGTTGTTGTTTAAATTGTTTTCAGGGTTTCAGGGTCCGATACTCTTCACCTAGGTAATACTTGGAATTTGGAGAAGGGTTCAAACCCAGACCCTTCGCGTCTTAGGGTTGTGATGGCACGTTACATCTTCAGGTTGCATTAGAAATAAATTGCTAAAGCTTGGATTTCAGAATACTATCCTACATCCTACAAGCGATAACAAGCGATTAGAATGAAAAAAGGGATAACCTCCACTTCAACATGATGTGACGTCGTCATGAAAATTAAACCCTTAATTTCATTTCGCGCCGTTTGCAACGGCTTGGAACTCCTTCTTGTAGAGAATCCGGGCTTCACCCACAGTCGCAAGGGGATTGTGACGGTACTGGCGCCGGAAACGGTCGTAATCGACTTTACCGATCCACGCCCTGTACCTATAGACCGTGGATACCACCAGAACCCACTCGTCGCCCCAGACGTCGTTCCAAGCCTGTAGTGGAGGCCTTGACTCACATTCCTTGAACCACGCAAGCAGTGTCGAAACAAGTACCGACGATGCCAGCCACTTTGTCTTCAATACTTTGGCGTTTGTCAATACCGGAGAAGAGGGAGTGGACGTGACAACAGCCTCCATCTATCGATGGAGCAAGATGATGGGATCAGTCATCATGCTGCTATCGAAGGACTTAGAAGTACTCACGGCGTGGCCTGCTTCCCGAATAGGGGATTTATCAAACAAATTAAAAATTGGGAGCTCTTCTGAGTCCTCGCGTTTTGCTGGCTGCATATCCCGAATGGTTAAGCTGTTGCTCTTAACCACCTCGATCTCGTCGAAAGCAGGTGAGCTGGCCGGTTCATTCGCTCCGTTCGCTCCTATACGCATATACGATTTCACTACAACGACTTCATCGTCCGACTCAGGAGGGGTGGCTGTGGACGTGGCTCGCGATGCCATAGAAGTTGGATGTTGCCCACTTTCGGCGGCGGATGGGGCGGCCTCTTCTAGCGGTTTTAGACCAACGGGCGTTAGCTTGGCCTTGGGTTGTGGTAACCCTGGTATTCGAGGATCCACAAGTTGCGACCGTACAACCACCACTTTCACGTCTGCTGGATACCTGTGAGGGAATGTAACCATCGTTTCATGCTGTACAATCATGATAACCCGTCAAAATAAAGGTCAACACAATTAAATTGTTCACCAACCGAGATACAGATTTACTTACCCATGCATCAATCTTGTCATTCCAGAACAAGAGGGCGCGATTCCATGTAGGTCCCAGGGCTTGCGTACAAGCTTGCATTAGCAGGCTCGATTCGTCAAGCCGGGCCTTAGGCCATTGATCGAAATGCGCTGAAATGACCTTTGGTTTGTCGGGCTGCTCGTGTGTTATTGTTTCCAAATCAGTTTGGAAACTGGATCAGGTGTAAACTAAATCAAAAAACACACGTTGAGCCATAGAAGTATGGTGACCACTTTGGCCTCATCATATTTGTTGGCAATCTGACGTTCGGCTGCTTCATATCGCTCCCGTCGATCTTCCTGGATTTTGGTCACCGTCTGCACACCCAGCCGGCGTCCAAGTGTGTTGGCCGTTTGGGCCCATTGATGGATTCGACCACCGGGCCGAGGTCGAATACCTTCAGGCGTGGGTTGCGTTGATGTACTGGCCGCAGAAGACGTGATGCTTGCGGTCAACGAAGGAGTTGAAGGGAGTACGTCATCCAAGCAGTTGGGGGTGGTGGAGGTGACTCGAGTATGCTTTGAACAAGCCCCCAAGCCATATTCAAGGCAACACTATGGTTATATAAAATACAACCACTCAGTCAAACATCTTCTATCATATCTTTGGCAGATTTGAATATAGAAATAACATAAATGGTACTTACGGATTGGCAGTACTGATAAGGGCAACCTTTGTTTCCAGTTGCCCTGTGATTACGTGCGACAGGTCCACGTAATGGTCTCTGGCAGGGGTACTTAACTTTGGCACGGACCGGTGTGGTGATCTATTTATGATATTAAGCAAAAAAATTAATCATCTTTACTTTACCAGTTTATTAGCAAACTTCAATATAGCAGAGAATTCGAGATTCAGGTTTTCAGATCAATTGAAGCTCTTAGAGGCTTATGTATACTTATTAGCTCATTATTATGTCATCTTATTTCAAAATTATTATTAAGATCAACATAGTTTACTTACAAAGTTATTACAAAAAGACAGAAAAAGAAAAGATAAGAAAAATTCGAAAATATAGGTGTAAAAGTTGGAAAATGGTTTTTAGCTTATTTATCATTAAGTTATGGGTTTTATAAGGTTAGAATATGAAAGAACAACAGTTTATTATACAGGAACAATTTTAATATTCAAGGTTGATAAGGGGAAACAGAGGTTATTAGCAGAAAGGTACTTTTTCGAAGTTGGTAAACAAGGGTTAGGCGTGTAGTTTACATATGTAATGGTGGTAGTGATGGAATTTAAGGTTGCCAAGAGGATTTTCCGGGATTTTTAAGGTTATAGAAGATGATGTCATATTACATGAGCAAGGAAAAGGGATTAGCAGCTGTGAAAAGTGAAGAAAATAGGTGAAAATCGTCGAAAATGGAGGTTTTCAGCTAATTACATATGTCAAATGACGTCAGAACATGATAAGTAATAGCTCATTCAACGCAGAAGAGTGGATTACATAATGTACAACCTTTGAATCATTAGTAACGGAGGTGTATGTAAAAAGTTATAAGGGAAATAAGAAATTGGTGGAATCTCGAATTTACAGTCACAACCCTAGC